AGGCCTCAGGTAGACTGGGCATCGCCCGGCCCCCCTGGGCACGCCGATGCCAGCTCTCAGAGGGAAGCCAAACACCGCGCAGAAAAATCCGAACCGGGATGATAATCTTGTGCTGATCAGACTCAATCTGGCGCGGGCCGATCAGCGCCCACCCTACGCGCTGCAGAGACAGGATGACAGCACCACTGGGCCCCCTTGACTCCAGACGAATGGGCTTGTCACGCAGGGCAAGTGGCGCCACCTCCCACGCGCACCTATGGCCCGAACCCCTGGCACGGCCTTCCCAGAACCAGCAGCAGCATTTGGGCGCCAAAGGAACGGTCGCATCGAAAATGAAGCCATGCGCTGGGTCTCGGCGCCCGTTCAAATAGGGGGTCACGCGACTGTTACCTCTGGCCCCCCATAAGCCACGCCGCCAGCGCCATCGCGGCGCGTGAAGCGGCGCCCGCGACACAAGAGACTGCAGCACCATGGCTGCCGCGCGGTATGAGCCCCGCCCTCCAGAGCCCCGCCGCCCTCTCACCCCCCGCAGCCCGACGCGCCGGACCCACGGCCACGGCAGAGAACAGGCCGTCCGAGAGATATCGCAACGACCGAGGGCGGGCGCGCATGCAATCGATCGCCGCGCGCCCAGGGAGCGCGGCAATCGCCTTTCGCAAACCGGGTGTGGCAGCTTTCGGAAGCGACGGCTCGGGCGCTCGAAATCCGCGGGCCGACCAGACCTTGGCCCACTAGGAGCGCGTCGAATCAGCCAACTCGCGCGGCCGCGCTCGCCCGGCGGCCTCGATGGTCTCCCGGAGCCCACGGACTCTAGGAAACCCATGCGCTTGCCGAGCGCGGCCCAGAAAACTGTCAGCCCTGAGGCCGTTCACGAGGCCCCCCTCGGCGCGCGGAAACTGGCTTGGTGGTTTTCAGCTCGGCCCAGGACGCGCTGAATGTGGTCGTCGGTCGCTGGGTCGCCAAAGACCGCAATGCCTGCCCCCCCCCCCCCCCACCCACACACACACACACGCACACACACACACACACACAAAAAAAAAACGCGAGTCAAGGGGTCCAGCTGCAGCAGCGCGCCGCCGTGCTTCGCGACGTTCCTCATGAAAGCCTCGGCCTCAAGCAGCAGCTGCGCGCCACTCTATCCTGCCTGCGCTGCTGCTCGTCGTGCCCCTCGCCAAATTCAGGGGCGCGCGTCGCTGGCGCGCGGTCGATCCTGCGGATCTGCCGAGTAGGTCGCATCGGCCACGGGCGGCCGCGCGCGCGCCGCTGCCTTGGCTCGCTGCCAGTCAGCCTCACGCGGCCCAACTCACTTCACGCAGCCCTTCCTCGCGAGCCCCACTACGTCGCGCACATCAAGCAGCCCTCGCTCGACGCCCGCGACCACTCGATCCCAGAATATTGCCAGCTCGCCCCCCGTGCTCGCGCCACCGACGCCCCTCGAAAAGCTAGACCAGTCCCTGGGGTAGCGCGCGCCGCCTGGTGGCGCCGCGACCGGCACCTTCTCCTGCCAGCGTGGATCCCGCGCCCACATGGCTGCCTCTGGCCCGCGCAATTACACAACAGTAGGGCGCTGGGGCGACGGGTTGGCCGACGGGCACACCTCTGGGAATGTAGCGCTGGTTGCCATGCTTTCGCTCATCACGAAATAGTCGATGACTGATCCGGGGACGCTCTGCGCGCGCGTCGGGGTCGCGGGCGCGACCACCGCGCCGCTCATGGCGGCGGCCCAAGACGTCAGCAACCCTCGTTGGATGTTGGAGTCCGACTCCCGATTCCAATCAAAACTGACGGCCTGCAGACGCTGGATGCGGTAGCGGTCTCCATCAAATTCGCGACATTTCGCGGGCCGAGAAACTCATCCACCCACAAATATGCCGCAATGACAACGATACTACCCCTCACCTTCGCACGCACGTGGCCCGCCACCGCCCTGGTTTGGACCAGCACCCCCGAAGACAGCACAACGCCGCCACGCCACCCTGCGACCCCCTGCCTCCCAGGGCCGCCGTAGCATCAGCAGCCGCCCGGGACACAGTGTCATCCTGCCGCCCGAAGCCTCGTCCGAAATTGCCCCAGCTTGTCCTCGGTGAGGTGGTGTTTCCGGCAGCATCACACGCTCGAATCTGCCCCTAGCGCTGGCTGCTCCGCCTCAAGCAGCTCGGCGAAGGGCCCATGAGAAGAAGCATTGACCATGACAACCTGCATCATCAGCGCAACAAACAGGAAACAAAATTCACAGATCATCACACCTCTGCGTCTTGGCGAAACTCGTGAGATTCTCACCAACACGCTTGACTGCCTCGCGCAAATCCACGTCGCCATCGGGCACCTGCATGTTGACGGACTGCAAGAAAGCCCTGGGCACCTCGGGGTCGCCATCGGGCTGGGGGATCCAGCCCCGCGCCCTTGGGGTCGCAGCGACAGGCGCCGCCGTGCCGCCCGCGTCGCAAGCCGCGGCCCCGTTCGCCGAGCCCTGGCGCCCGACTTGGGCAGCCGCCTGCCTCGCCGCCTCCGCCGCCTCGGCCGCGCGACGCTGCTGCCCGACACGATGCGCAGCGTCGGCAACCCGCACCTCCTCCAGGCATCCGTGGAGCCGCTGCACCGACCCGCCGAAGGAGGCCAACAGCTCGCCGAGCCGCCCCGCCGTGGACCGGTTTGACACGACTGGCAGCACCTGCGCCAAAGAGGGCACCTCCCGATGGCTCGGCCTCGGCACGTGCGCGACCAGCTGGCGGCGCTCCTCCTCCAGCTCCAGGAGCTCGGCGCAGAGGCGGTCCAACTGCGCGCAGGCGTCTTTGACAACGAGTTCCGCCTTGCACACCTTCTCGCGGAGGTCGGCGACGCTCGCATCCTGCTTCTCCTTTCGCTTCTCCAACTCCTGACGCAAGAAGGATATCTCCTTGAACCTGGTGTCAAGGCTCTTGCCCACCACGAGCTTCCTGCACAGCTCGAACTGGCGGGCGCGCAACTTGTCCCGCGCCTCGACCAGCTCGGCACACTTGGACGACTCGAGCGTGGCCAAGGTCTCGGCGACCTCTGCCAGCTCCCTCTTGATGTCACCGCTGGGCCAAGACATCGACCTCCATAGAGTCAGGAACGCCCCCCTGCTGAGACTGCTGACTCTTGAGCCTTGCCAGCTCGGCCCGCCGTTTCTGGACCTCAGACTCCTGCTCCCCCCCATCCTCCAGCGAATGTTCTTTGCGAAGCTAGCACCTGACCAGATCTGCCCTGTTCCACTACTGGTCGCCCGTCGACGACGACCAGCTGTGCTTGACCACCCTCGCTTCCAAGAGCCACCAAGCGACGCCAAACTGCGGCTGCACTGGTCGGGCCGCTCGACGGGGAGGCGCATGGCATGACTTGGTTTTGCCTGGAAGCGAAGGCGGGGTAGGTAATTCACGCTCTGTGCCTGCAATACCACGGCCCGGCCTGGCCCAAGCCACGCCACGCTGTCGCTCGTGCCCGCTCCGGGTCGGGCCTGCCCGCGTCGACTCCTCGCGCCCGGCCGCGGGACGCACGAGCGAGCGCTGGACCGCCAGGACAAGTGCGCGGTGCCGCTAGACAGGAGTGTGTGCTGAGTGTCCGTTGGTCCTCCTCCGCTTCTCCCCTGAAGCTTCTCTCGTGCCTCCTCGTTCATCCTCCCATCTCCCCCACGCACGGCAACAGGGAGGCAGTGGGAGACCCGAGCGGGAACAAATGAAGAAGGGATTGAGCGTTCAAAAGGGAGATGAGGCGAAGGTAGAAGAAAAAGAAACATGAACATTGACCTATTGCGCTCCGCGCGAATCCAAGAAATCCGCGCAGAGAGCCAAACATGTATGTGAATGTCGTGTCTTCGTCTTCGAGGAGGGCGTTGTTGGTACAGCTCCCTTTCGCGAGCCCACCGGATGAGAGGAAAAGGATTGGCTGAACTATGTCTGCATCAACCCCCTTTTAGGCAAGCGCGCTCCGCTACTCGCAGAGTCACTGCTCGCAAATGGCCTGGATCCGCCGTGGGGGATCTACGATATGCTACATCGAGGCGAACGTGTTTTTTCTTCGGCCCGATGCATTACATCGAGGCGAATGTGGGTATGTTGTTTAGGACGTTTGCGAGTACAGTCATCGGCCTGACCTAAGGAACGATAAATAAGAAACGAAGCCCCATTTTTATCCCAAGGAAGAACGCATAAGGAACGATAAATAGCACATAGCTCATAAGGATCTGTAATTAACGCATGCAAGCCTGAGGAACGACCGAGCCCCTTTTGAAAAGTAAGTGTTCCTTACTCAAGCCGCTCACTGTAGGCACTTTGCGAGTCGTGAAAGCGCTCGGTGGCGCCTTGGGAAACGCCCAGGCACTGGAGGCTCGAGGGTCGGGGAGAAAACTTTCCCCACGGGAGGAGTCGGGAGGCGGAGGCCGGAGGGACGGAGGAGAGCGGGGAGAGGCAGAGCGAGAAGCGGGAAGAGGGGCAGAGAGGAGGTACACGGGGCGCCTAGAGCAAAACAAGAACCCCACTTTGAATGAGGGAAAAAAGACCTAGAGGAAACAATGACCTCACTTTGGAGGAGGGAAAATCCCAGAGAGAAAACAATACCCCCTGGGGAAAAAAACATAAGACCAGCCTGCCAGGGGCACGACTCTTGGTAAAGCCCAGCTATGGATCTGCACTCCAAACTCGCGAGCCACGCAGCTGGCCTTACACCCGACCAGCAGGCCTGCGGACAAGCCCTTCAGCAAATCAACCATGTAGTTTCGCCTGCCAACTGACCATCGCCCATCCAGACAGGAAGCCCACCAGCCGAGCCTGCCAGCCAATCAGCCAAATCACCGACGAACCCAATCGACCCAACAGTGCAGGCACATCATCAGTGGGCAGCGGCAGAGGGCGAAACGGTTCAGACAATGACAAACTCGGATCACGCCCTTCTAAGAGATCACCCCAAAGAAACACATCATCACGCGCCTGGCGCCTGCAAATAGTCTCTTATGCATCCGACACTCGTGCGGGTATACCGGTTTTGTCACCCCAGGGCATGGCTCTAGTCCGAGTCGCTCGCTTGCGGGTCGAGCCCCGTGGCGCTTGACATACAGTCAGGCCTGGGCCAGCAGAGCATCCCTCAAGAACACGAGACCCTCCGCCGGCCAAAGCGTACAGAGCATCCAGCAAACACGAAGAACGGAAGGGTCGATCTTTTACAAGGCAGGGAGCTGGGGAAGTGCGCCAGGCCCCTCGCGCGGCGCCAGCGTCATCTCTCACTCGGGTTCCTCCGCCTTGGGGCCCCTGCGGCCTGGAGCGCCGGCTGTCAAGGAGGGGAGCTCGATGGCCGCCGTGCCGTAGCTGCCGTTGAAGGAGGAAGCGCCGACGGTGCCAGGGAGGGGACAGTCGCCGTCCCGCTCCTTCTCCAGCAGGAATCGGCCGATGGTACTGACGTACGATATCCAGCCTTCCAGCTCGCCATCCACCCGCAGCTTTGGCCAGGCCATCCTCGAAACCTCGGCGCCGAAGGTCACCCGAACACGCCGGCCCCTCTGCTCCTCCACTCTCAGGGAGCAGCCGCAGCTCACGTTCGTGACCTGGGCCGACTTGAACGACTCGCCCTCTCTCACGAGAACCTTTGACAAAACTCGGTATCTTGCTCCGAGATCGAGCGGTTTCTGGTTGTCCACCAGGAACTGCACCGGGTCCTCTAGGCAGAAGACGTAACTCCAGAAACACCGCGCTGTCAGGAGCACGAACACGACGCCCTGGCTCGAAGGAAGCCCGGCGAAGCAGCGGAGCGTCCGCCCGAAGGGAAATGTGCGCCACCTCGCGAGGAGGTCCAGGAAAGAGCAGAGGCCGCCAAACCCCAGCACCTCCAGCTCCAGCACCTCGCCCAGCGGGACGCGCCGGCTGTGCAGGGGGAAGTCAGGGGAACGAGCAATGACAGAGACATACAAACTCGGAGGTCCGCACGGATTTCTCGGATCGTCGCTGGACCCGGAGCGCGCCAGGGGCGGCGCCGGAGGCTCCGCCAGGAGGATCCAGCGCCGATCCGAAAAATCCGCGCGCACATCAGAGTTTTTATGTTTACAGTGGAGGCCAGTTCACAAGAAAACTTTCACGAGAAAACCAACCCTCAGACCCCAGGACATCCATGGATTGTTGGTGTGGGAGCGTCACGCGTTCTATGGCAGAAACATCGAACCCCATGCAACCCAGGGCACCCTGGTGGCAAGCAGGGTGTTTCTCGGCATGGACCTTCATTGTAGGCGGCCCTGGATGGCAAAGCAGCTCGCTTGTGGCCAGCGCCTCCTGGCACCAGAGGCGCCAGATGTGTCGAGGGAAGCGCCAGGCGGCGGAGCCGAAACCAGCTGGAGGATTATGAGGAGAAGGGGGAGGAGCAGGAGGAGGGGGAGGAGGAGGAGGAGGAGGAGGAGGAGGAGGAGGAGGAGAAGGAGGAAGAGGAGGAGGAGGAGGAGGAGGAGGAGGAGGAGGAGGAGATGGAGGAGGAGGAGGAGGAGGAGGAGAAGGAGGACAAAGAGAAAGAGGAGGGAGGAGGAGGAGCAGGAGGAGGGGGAGGAGGAGGAGGGAGGAGGAGGAGGAGGAGGAGGAGGAGGAGGAAAAGGAGGAGGAGGAGGAGGAGGAGGTGTTTCTTGGCGTGGGTCCCCACTGCATGCCACTGTTCGCTCCCCCTGGGAAGTCTATCCGGAGCGCGTCGGGCTCGCGGGCCACGCGCCTGGGAACAAGGGCCAGGGACCCGAGGAAGGCCGCGCCGGCCAGGAACGCCTCGGGGATCGTCTGACCCGGGTCAATCCAGCCCCGGGTCAGTCATGGGACGCACTGGGACATACTAATTACCACTACACGTCCTCCTTGGAGGCGCGCGTCCGACCCGAACATATAGTATACCCATCTTGTGGTAGATCGTTTCCCGAGCGGGTGTGGCCAGGAAACGCCCGCCACGACGCATATACCATAATATTTCTCGGTGCGCGTGTCGCCCCTGGGGGTGCGACGCACATCTAGTATAAGCATGTTGGGGTGATGCCGAAGTCAGGGCTTGCAGAATCCTGCAAGATCCCGCAAGATCCTGCACCCACACCCGGGTCAATGCGAAGGATCCTGCATGATCCTGCAGGATCCTGCACCCAAGCCCTGGGCAACGCGGCCCTGGCCCTGCAGGATGCAGCAAGATCGGGCGCTCTGGCTGGCCCCCGTTTGCGCTGACCCCCGTTTTGGACGCCCGAAATGGGTACGGAAGATATGGGTACAATGCCCGACAACAAATGTTGTCCCAGAACAACAGCGGCCGCTGTTGGGCGGGCGGCCTCCTGTCTCGAATAGACACAGGCCGCGGCGGCGCGGACAGCGAGTCCTGTCCAAAATGAACAAGAACTGCTGGTGGGCATCGTACCCATTCTTTTCGTGCCCACATCGTTCGTGCAGACCGTTTGCATTGACCCCCGTCTCTTGAGCCTCGACCTACCCCCCTCTGCGCGTGGCCGGCGAGGGGCGGCACGCGCCCAGGGAGAGGAGGAGGAGGAGGAGGAGGAGGAGGAGGAGGAGGAGGAGGAGGAAGAGGAGGAGGAGGAGGGGGAGGAGGAGGAGGAGGAGGGAGGAGGAGGAGGGAGGAGGGAGGAGGGGAGGAGGAGGAGTAGAGGAGGAGGAGGAGTAGAGGAGGAGGAGGAGGAGGAGGAGGAGGAGGAGGAGGAGGAGGAGGAGGAGGAGGAGGAGGAGGAGGAGAGGAGAGGAGGAGGAGAAGAGGGAGGAGGAAGAGGAGGAGGAGGAGGAGAGGAGGAGGAGGAGGAGGGGGAGGAGGAGGAGGAGGAGGAGGAGGAGGAGGAGGAGGAGGAGGAGGATTTTTCCCTCGGAGGCCCTCGAGGCAGAACAAAGAAAAACCTGCCTAACCCGATCGACGGGAGGCAGCTGCAGCTTCTTCCCGCGCACGAACGCGGGCCGCCAAAGCCTCCATGCCAGGGGTTGACACGAGGCGCAAGCGGGAGGCCGTCTGTCTACCACCTTGTGTGGCCGCGACCTCCAGAACAAAATCGGCGGAGCGACGGCAAGGGTCCGTGACACGATTATCATTGTAAAAGTGAGGGTGGAGCCCCTGCTTGATACGGGAGAGGGTCTGGGATCTCGTGCCCAGCTTCCCACAGCACCGCGTCGCCAGCAAAACACACCTCTTCGAAGAGTAGGCCCCACACCTGTAGCAAAACACTAAAGGCTCCTGGGCTTCATTGTCAATCATCGAGCAAGCTAGGAGGTGCCCCCGTTCCTCGGCATCCTTCAGATTCCGAAAGGCAGTGGGGACCCCTTTGCACCCTACCATCGATCTATCCTGATCCCAGGTGATCGAGAAACACTTGGTGCACCTCCAGGCTACCCCCGAGTCGATCTCGCACCAGTCGTGCCAACTCGGATCTCTGACAGCCGCCGCAGTCCGAAGGCCTCTGGCAGAGCGACGAAACTCCATCTTGGGGTAGCAGGAAAGCACCGCATCAAACATTCGAACTAAATCTTTCACACGCTTCACGCACACATCAAGAGCCTCGAGGTCTTCTGTCGGAACCCCTGGGTGAAGTGTCAGTGCGTGCTTGGCTAACCTATCAGCATCAGCATTTCCCAGTGCAATGCGACGCTCCAAAATCGGTAAAGCCAACATCACCTCCTCAGACCTGTGGGCAGGGGTGTAGGAGGCAGGTCCCAGACAGCCCTGAGGGTCGTGTTCCATGGCAAGTCTCCTAAGGCCCGCAAACATCTGCTTTGGGCACAGCTGTTCCCGACAACTAGCATTGTGCAGATTAACGGCACCAGAGCAGTCACTGTGAGGTGTGGCAGGGTAATCTATGACACAGCTGAGCGTGGCCATGCCAAGATGCTCCGCCGACTGCGGGGTCTGGAACAAGGTGGGCCATACTGTGCCCATCATCCGTGCCTGAATCTTGTATTCGGGGCTAGGTGCTAGGAACACAGCCCCGAACGCCGCGCGTTGGAGCTCCTTAAACACCTGCTGAGTTGCTGAGCCGTCAACCACGGGCTCACACCCACGGGTCAGCTCAAGAAAATCTTCAAAACTGATTTCCTGGCCCTCGGAATCCTGAAAGATCGGGTCGAGGTTCCAGGACGGTCCAGGGACCACAGGCTGAGGCACAATGAGCCTCGTCCAAAACAAAAGCTCCTGGGGCTCGGCAGCTTTCACCTGATCAATCAACTCCTGACTGACATACTCGAGCCTCTGTTCAGCCACGCTCGGACAGAGCCATTGCCGATGGAACAGGGAGTCGGGTTCCCCACACAAAGGACAGCCCCCCCCGTGGTCATGCCCGCACGCTCTCAACCGATCTCCCGTCCAACAGGCACCTGAAAACACAGCCGAAAGCCAATATTTTTGTCTGGCCGTGGTCTTACGTGAGCGAAACAACTTAGCGACAGGGTCTGGGCAGACTCTGACATCATTGAAATCATCTAAGTCGGTGGCCATCTTGCGCTCAAGGGCTCTCTGCACGCCAGCCTCGAGCTGCTTGGCCACTAACGCTGGGGAGGTGTACATTAAATCAACCACGCGATCACGGTCATCTCTCCACAGCGCAAAATTATCTGCACGCCACCCGATACGATGGAGGGAGAGGAGCATTCTGTGCACTGGACCTTTAGACTTACGCCAGACAGTGGGGCCTAACTCAGGAGAGGAACTCGATATTGCACGCCATATCCGAATATGATCCCGAAAAGAGAAGTGGCACACCGTGGGCTCCGTGAGGCTCTGCCAGAGGCTGTTCGACCACTGAAGTGCTGGGGCGACCGCCTGACGCCACGCAGGGTCTCCATGAAGCACACACTTCGCTGTCAAGCTTGCTCCCCGATGGGCAGGAGACTTGCCTGACATAAGCACTGAACGTAAAGAGGCCAACTCATGATCAGAAACTCCTAGGACCATGCTGTCGAAACCTGCTGCTGGCCGTACTCCTGCAACATATATCTTGTTAATACGCGTACGGTCCCTGGGAAGCTTCTTCTTATAGTGCTGGAGGAGTCGGCTACGAATTCGCATATCGTGAAACCGTTGCCGCCGCCGAGCTCTAGCCTTCTTAGCCGATAACCCCTGACCAGGTGCTAGGTCAACGCCCAGCGACACCGTGGAGTTCGTGGCCGAAGAAGGGCATATTGGCTGAAGTCGCCTGCGCAGCTTGGAAGCTATCCTGCTGGACGACGAAAAAGATACCGCTTTGTCTTCAGCTAGCCGCACACCTAAACGTGTCTGAAAAACCCACTTCAAATCTTTCGCAGCCTTGACCAAATCGTGCATAATAACACTTTCGGGACCATGGGCCGAAACCGTGTCGTCGTCGACGTACGATCCCAGACTAACCCCAGGATTTCGGCTAGACCAGAGATCAAACTCGAACACCGCGTAAACCTTCACGAAAACATCATTGAACATGTCCCCTGCTGGTAAACCGTTTTGCGCAAACTGAATAAGCGGGCAATGATGAGCTCCCAGACGGAGTACTCTCGGGGACCTCCAGAGGTTGTACAGGACTTTTATGAGAACCATTGGTATACGCCAGTACATGGCCCGATCCCTCAGCCACAGGAGCCGAAAAGACTCGTAGTACTTCATACCGTCCCAAATGAAACCTGCCGTGTAATCGCCCTTTTCGGAGGTCTCCTCGGCTCTCACACTTTGTTGCCATATCGATACCTCTGCAGACTGCCCCGCACCAAAAGACCAGTAAGGCCGTTGGGCCCGATCCAGGAAAGAATCAGCCTGAGGTCTCCGAAGTCGCTCCCAAACTCGAACAAACGATCCCAGAAGAAGAATCGGCCTGAGACCTCCTTTGGGCTTCTCCAGTAAAGGCAGCAGCATCCACAGTAGCTGCGCGGGGAAAAGGCCCAGCCGCTCCACGGCCTCGTAGAGCACGGCCAGGCACGTGAGGCCCTCGTCGGAGAGGGCACCGACATGCCGCGGGTGAAATCCATCTAAGCTCTGGGCGGTGTGGCGGCTGAAGCTCAGAGACGCTTTCCGAAGTTCATCAACGCTGGCCCGAGGGAAACATTGACGATCAGGAATCCAGGCTTCAGGTGGCTTCAAATCCGCTCCCCAGAATCTTCCCAAAGTTTGAGCTTCATCCTCCAGAAGGGCATGTGGATCCGCAGTAAACACTCCAGGAGCACTCTGGATAACTGTCGGCTGCCAAACCTTTTTCAGCTTCGTAAAACGATGCATTATCCGAGCTGAGCCAGCGAGGGCCCGTTCCTGCCAGAGGTCCCACGACTCCCGCTGTATACGATCCCCATCCACCCCAGCTTGCTCATAATCATCACGAACATCCTCTAACAGCTGCTGAGCTAGCTCAAGCCACTCCTGCCGATGGAAGCTGCTGTGGTGTTGCCAGCTCCTCGCCAGAGTGCGCATGGCACGGAGGGAGGCATCCAGGCGCACAGACAGGCCTTCGCCAGGGCAGGAGTCCTGGAGCGATACCTGAAGCTGGATGCAACACTGGACGGTGTCCTCAGTCGCATCTTGCACCGTCAGAATAAATTCTTGAAAAGACTGGTACAGCCACCTCCAACCAGCAGCGATCTGGAGCTTATCCTCAGGATCCTTCGGGCGATAGAAAACTGAAACCCAAGACGATTTGATCGTTCGCGAACGCTCGCCCAACTCCTTCGGCTCGAAACCTAAAGTGCGGGTAAGCTCCAGCTCGGCGACGTCCACAAACTGCGCCCATGCATTATTCAAAACTCTCCAGGCCACCGTGGCCTTCTCGTGCATGGCCCAAGCCGCTGCCTGCGCAGCGTGAGCAAGAGCGCCTTGCCACGCTGGTGGTTGAGGCCGCGGTCCAAAAGGCACATCAACAGGTAGGCGCTGATAGCTACGGTACACTAGCTGCCTGATGGAAAGAGCATCTGCACGAACCTTGAGTTGGACAGGTCTGTGGGGCTTGACATCCCAAGACATGACCGCTGCAACTCCAGAGATCAATCTAGACAAACCGGGGCCCATGACGAAGAAATCTATAATTGTGTTCGTAGACGGAGTACGACACGTGTGCTCAATCGGCGCCAAAACCAACATCCCCAGCTTGCGTGGAACTCCAGAGGCCTCCAGAAACTGTGGGGTGAGATTCCAGTCCCCCGCCAGGATCGTATGAGTTGGGTCATTCACCTGCTTACCTATCTTCGCGATCATCTGTACGTTGGCCTCGCTGAGGCCCTCCGATGTCTTCAAATAGACCGAGAAAACCGTCACCGTGGGCCACCCAGGGAAGTCCGCCAGAACCTTGATAGCTCGTCCAGGAACAACTGGGCCAGGACCTTCTGGAGGCCATCGTAAACCAATGCTGAGCCGAGCGAAGACGGCGACACCGCACGAGACCTTGCCTGTCTCTGGGTTCAAGAACGAGGGGCCGAACAGGGCGTGGAAACCGAGCGAGCGTGCCGAGGCCGTAGCTTGTCCCAAGAAGGAAACACTGATGCCTATCTCCTGGGCGCACACAATCACCGCCGAAGTCTCTCGTAACCTTCGCCGAAGTGTCTTCCAACAAGAACCGTTGAACGTCTCAATAAAAAACGGGTCCCCTCTGGCTACCTTGGGGCCTCCACGCAGAGGTGGCACAGGTACTCCAGTGGAGGACAGCGGAATGCCTGACAAGAGGGGCGCACGGCAGCAGTGAAGGGCATCACCCGCACCGCTGCTTCTTCGCCCTGATACCGAACTGCTTGAGTAGGTCCGCGACCTCCTTCTCGTGGTCGGGGCCCTCCTTCCGCGCCGCGGCGATGACCTGCTGCACCTTCTCATCGGAGAGCTCCTCCATGTCCACGTCGTCATCACCAGCACTGACCTCGGCCGCTTCGGGGGCGGCTCCTGGCACTGCACCATGTTCACCACCAGGAACCCGAGGAGCGGCCTGCTGCTGGTCACGCGCCGCTGCCGCCTTGGCCGCATAGAGCTGCCTGAACTTGGCGAACTCGGGCGAGGCCAGCATCGTCTTGACCCCTTCCGCCTCAGGGCCCTCGAGCACGCTCGGGTCAAGCTCCAGGTCGACCTCAACCTGCTGCTCGGGGGCCGAGGGCGCCACCTGCTGCATCGCCGCCTGCAACTCGATCTTGAGTGCGTCGATGTCCACGCGCAGGCTGCGCTGTCGGTCGTTGAGCTCCGCCAACGCCCGCTGCGCCTGCTCCACAACCTTATTCTGCTCCGCAATTGACTTGTCGAGAGCCTCGAACTTCTTCTGCTTGTCCGCCAGCTTGTGGCCCAACGTGGTAGCACGGGACAACACTGGCTTCTTGGACTGCACCTCCGCTCGCGCCGCCTTGAGCTCACCCTCCACGGTCTCAATGGCAGACGCTGGTACTCCGTCGCACTTGCGAAGAGCCTGCAATGACTCCTCCAAGTGCTGCACTCGAACACGTAGCTTGTCATCATCCGAAGTCGGTGCGGCTTGAGATTCGGCGCCACCGCCTCCAGCCTGGGCCGAGCCTCCGCCTCCACCTCCGTTGGCCGCGACACCCGCGGGAGGGGACGACTTGGCGGCGACCTTCTCCATGATGCGCTTCTCCATGGCTGCCAGCTGGCCTGACAGATCGGCTGGGGGGCCCTTGGCCCACGCACCGCGAGGGCCGCGAGGCTGCCCAGGAGGTACGCCAGGAGGAGCACGGGCCGATGAGCCCAGAGCGGCAGCTGCGGTGCGCGCGCGCTCCACACTTGCCCTCGGGGCTGACTGTCCACAGAGGCACCGTATCCGACAAGCAAAATTCTGGTTCCTGCCACAACTTGGACACCCCCAGAAGGGCGATCGGGGCCCTGGGAGTACATCCGCCTCATCACGTCGAGCCATGCACAGCACAGCTTGTCTCAGGAAGGCTTGCTCCAACAGGAGCTCACAAAAGAGATTCCGAGCCACAAAGACCCGCAGGAGCGGCTGCCGCTCTGAAGACAGCTCCTGCAAGCCCAAAAACTTGGGCCAGAACGGCTAGGAGGAGGAGGAGGAGGAGGAGGAGGAGGAGGAGGAGGAGGAGGAGTGCCCAATTTCGTGAGTGCAGACTTGAGCCCCGAGCGCCGCGCCGCGGAGGGCCCCCGGCAGCCCGGCGAGGTACGCCGCGCCCCCGCCCCCGGCGGAGGCAGCCGTGCCGAGGGCCCACAGGGCCACCACGGGCGACACGGCCGCCGCCAGCAGCAGCGGCGCGAGCAGCACGCACAGGCAAAGGACGTCCCACGGCACCACCGCGGGGTAGGCCTCGGGGAGCCGCTCCCCAGACATCGAGCGCCTCGAGGAAAGATCGGCCTCCCGTGGCCCTCGCCGGGCCTCGGGACCGCCAGAAATCAAGGGGCCCAAGGACACACAAATAAGTACACACAAATAGAAAGATTCCCCCTATTTTCCTATATTTTCTGGGTTTTTGCCTTCCCCCCCATTTCCCATAGTTTCGTATATTTTCTGGGGGATCGAGGATTCATTGTGTCTGTGTGTTTCTTCCTCCTGATTAAAAAACAATGCGGGCTGAAAAACCAGTCCCGGGGAGACGGTCGGGAAGTCGGGGGCCCGTCTGGAAACAATCGAGATGTCGGATGTCTGGGCTGGCCCCGGTCCGTCCATACACGGGTCAGTCGGGTCCTGCAGGAGCCTGCGAGATGCTGCAGGCTCCTGGGCTCCTGAGGGATCCTGCACCCAACCCCAGGCGAGTACGCCCCTGGCCCTGCAGGATCCTGCAAGATCCGGCGCTCTGACGGACCCCCGTTTGCATTGACCCCCGTCTCTTGAGCCCCGTCTCTTGAGCCGCGCACGTGCCGCCGGCACGTGCGCGGCCCGAGGGGGGGGAGGGCGGGGACGCATTGAGATACGAAGAGGCGCCGTGGAATCTGGGGAGACATCATGGCCCCGCCATCATATCCACACACACACACACACACACCCGTAGTCATCACCCCCCTGTTTGCCGCCCCGACGTCGTGACTTCTTCGCAGCGTCGACCCCCAAAGGTCTGGACCCCTTCCCCGGGACCGGCATCTCTTCCGGCGTCGTTCTGCTGACGGCCCCGAGGTCCGGGAAGGGTCCCCGCAGAGGCCGCAAATCAGGAGAAGCCTCCCACGCCTCCGTGGAGGAGGAGGAGCAGGAGGAGGACGAGGAGCAGCAGGAGGAGGAGGAAGAGGAGCAGGAGGGAGGAGGAGGAGGAGGAGGAGGAGGAGGAGGAGGAGGAGGAGGAGGAGGAGGAGGAGGAGGAGACGGAGGAGGAGGAGGAGACGGAGGAGGAGGAGGAGGAGGAGGAGGAGGAGGAGGAGGAGGAGGAGGAGGAGGAGGGAGCACGAGGGCCTGCCCCGCCGGGCCCTCGGGGGCCCTCCATCGCAGCGCCCCGCCGCGGCCGCCCTCCGCCTCCCTCCGCAGCAGCCTCGTGCCCTCGCCCCCCGGCGACATGGGCGGCGCGGCCACGGCGGGGCGGGGCGGGCGGTACTCGGGCGGCTCTTCGGGTCGGGCGAAAGCGGGGGATAGCAAAGGGGGGTTTGAGAATCAGCTCGCGTAGCTGATTTTCCAGGCGCCTCGCGGCGCCAGAGGCGCCCATGTATCGAGGAATGGGCCTGGCGGCGGGGCCGAAACCAGCTCTATGCAGCAAATGTTGTAACCCCCCCTTTCCCAATCCCCCCTTTCGCTCGGCCCGAGCCTTGGGGCGGGCATCCCCCGAGGGCGCCTCCCATCAGGAGGGAAAAAACACACACACAGACACAATGAATCGTCGATTCCCCAGAAACGATTCCCCAGAAACTATGGGAAGATATGGGAATGGGGCGGGAAGAGAAAAACCCAGAAGAGATGGAAAATAGGGGGAACCATCTTATTTGTGTGTGTTTATTTGTGTGCCCCAGGGCCCCTTCATCCCAGCCCGCCTCCCGGCCGGGCGGGGGGCGGGCGAGGAATCGGCGGCCAGAGAGAGGAGGGGGCCGGGCGAGGGGCGGGCTCGGGGCGCGGGGCCTGCGGACGTCTGCGTCAGCTGGCGGCGGCGTTCCAGCCTCGGCGCGATTTCCAGCAGCTGCGCCTTGTCGAAGGCGTTCTCCAGGGGTGCCCGGATCGTCCCGAGCGGCCGCCGGAGACCCGAGTCATGAGCCAAAAACCAAACTCGGCGGCGAGCGAGTGGGGGAAGCGAGAAGGAGAAGGCCCTCTCAGAGGGCCTGCGGGGCCTCTTCTCAGAAGGCATCGCGCCTTCTGCAAGGTTTCCACTGTCTTCCGGGAAAGGCTCGGAAAACTCTTCTCGGAAGACTGGCGGGACTTCCGAGCCTTCTGAGAAGGCCCGCCCCTCCTCACTGTCCCCCCCTCGCTGGCCGCCGAGAGGACGGAGGGAGGTGGGTGCTCGTTCTGGGGGGCTTCCTGGAGCCAATCGCCCCGCTCGTGCATCGATGCTGCGCCGAACGTCCGTCGGCTCGAGTCGAACTTGGGCCGAACCGGAGTCGAACTGATGCCGAACTAAGATCGGCCAGATCCGTCCGGGGGGGCCCCGAGAGGGTCCCCGAGACGAGCGTCTACCGGGGGGGGCGGGGACGGGGGTGACTATCGTTTGACCGATCCCCATCCCCAGCGGCGTGGCCTGGGCCCCGTTTGCCGATTTACCCCCCTCGATGGGGATGTAGGTCGTTCTCTTCGGGTTTCGAGGAGTGTATCCCTCAACTGGCGTGGTAATTTGGTGGGGTCTCGAAGGGGATGGACATGGGAATGGGGATCGGCTAAACGATACCGAGGGGGGGAGTTACGGATCGGGGAGGGGAGACATACACGTTGCCCTCCGACGTGGCGATGAGAGCAGTCACCGAGTGAGCATCGTCGGGTCACGGTCGAAGCGGAACAGAAAGTAGGAGGCCACATGCGAACACTGACCCCTACCCCCCACGATTGCTGAGGGGGAGGGTGGGGTTCGACCACAGGCGAATGCATCTGGCGACGCACGTGCTGCTGTCGCCCCACCAGAGCACGGCATGGTTCACTGGAAGCGCGGGACAACGGATAGACAGAGAGAGAGAGAGAGAGAAAGACAGAACAATAAGAGAGAGAGAGAGAGGGAGAGGGTAAGGAAGACATCAAACGCTATGGTTGATCCTTCGAGGCGTCCAACACAAACAAACCAAAACATCGACGCCCATAAACGCCAACAGTCGGGCAGAAACTCCTCCTCATTCTCCTCCGCTGCTCCAAATACTCGTCACTATCCCCCGCCCCTCCTTGGACCATGGGCTATGCGCAATAGCAAATCAGGAATATCAACAGAAACAAACGAAATTGAGAAAAAAGAGAGGGCGAAGGGAAGAACGTCGAGTGGAGGGGCACGACAGTAGGATGGAGGACAGCAGGCATTGAGCCAGGGCAGGGTGGGCGAGAGGGCCAGATCCGGGATGAGAGAACATCGCAAGCACGCCTCTTCCCCAGTGGAGTGGGTCCTGACAAAGCCTCAAGTGTCCCTCGTTATTGAAGGGGCCCTGGGACACACAAATAAATACACACGAAAAAATTATTCCCCATAATTTCCATATTTTCTATGTTTTTGTCTTCCCCCCCACTTTCCATATTTTCCAATATTTTCCTGGGACTCGACGATCAATTGTGTCTGTCTGGTTTTCCCCTCCTCAATGATCATCCTTCTCGGTCTCATGCTCCTCCTGTCCGCGGTCGCTGGGTCGCGTACGTCTCGGCGTCTCGAGCTGCGCGGCCCTTGAACATGTAATGTTAGAAAAAAAGATCCAAATACATGAACAGCACGAAGCCGGTGGTGACAAATCGATCCAACACCACAATGCTTTGTAGTGTAATATTATGACCTCACTTGTGGAAGTTAAGCGGAGTTCAGCCTGGAAGCCTGCATCAGCATTTCGACAGGATCTGAAAGCAGCCTGCGACAGAACAGCTCGAAAGATGACAGCGAAACAAGAGAGTGAAGGCCTGAAGCCGTTGTGGAACGTACGGGCGGGAGTCACAAATAATCAAACAAAACAGCGCGAGGGGTCGTTATACCTCCTCCTCCTCCTCCTCCTCCTCCTCTTCCTCCTCCTGCTCCTCTTCCTCCTCCTCCTCCTCCTCCTCCTCCTCCCAAAGGCTCATTTGCAAGCTCTGGTCTGTGTGAGCGCGAACGCGCACGGGCAGCAGGCGGGGGTACCAGCCCACAGCTCAGGCGTCGACGCTCATCGCGGTGGCCGCCGACTCTGTGCGTGGCATAGCCTTCGGATGGAGTGGAAGCGTGACATGAGACAATCGGCGGCGAGCGAGGGGGGGGGAAGCGAGAAGGAGAATGCCTTCTCTGAAGGCGGCGGAACTTCTCGGAAGCCCCGGCGCCTTTTATGAGAGCTTGCTTCTCTTGCTGGCGCCGCGTCGTCCTACGGTGCTGGCGATGGTGGCGGCGGCGGTCACTCCCAGCGTGTCAGCCCCCTGCCCTCCCCCCCCCCCGAGGGGGAACGTGGGGGAGGACTGGCTCAGGGGGGGGGGAACATCGACCGGGAACCAGCGATACATCGCCGATAGATCGGCGACAACGCCCCGAGAGCGAATCGGCACGCTCCGGCGCTCCTGCGCGCGGCGGGCCATCAACTCCCATCAGTCAGTCCATCAGCAAGCCGTGCGTCCAGTAGGACGCGTTGGCACAAGCCTGAGACACGCCAAACACGCGCCTGAACTGCCGTGCGACGCCAAACACGTGCAAAGGACGATTGTGAATCAAGGGGCCCGAGGACACACAAATAAATACACACAAATAAAAATACTTCCCATATTGTCCCATATGTTCTGGATTTCTGTCTTCCCCCCCACTTCCCATATTTTTCCCATATTTTCTGGGGAATCGACGATTAATTGTGTCTGTGTGTTTCTTTCCCTCCTGACTGTCACTGCCCATGACCTCTGGGCTGCACGCAAGAGAAGGGGCCCCCTGGGACACGCAAATAAATGCACGCAAACAAACGGATTCCCCATATTTCCCCAGATCGTCCAGGTGTTTGTCTTCCCCCCCACTTCCCATATGTTCCCATAGTTTGTGGGGAATCGGCGATGAATCTGATCTGTATGTTCTTCCCCTCGTGAGCAAGGAGTGGCCCTGGGCAGGAGCGGCCTTTGGCGCGCGGCTGCTCTGAGGCGGGGCCCACACCCAGAAACAGCGCGGGCCGCCCAGCCGCTGCCGTCGCATCGCATCCAGCGACCGGGGGGCCCCATCTCCCAGGAGGCCCAGAACAATGCGAAGACGAGAGAGAAGGATAGCGGTACAGGGCAGTTTTAATACATAGGATTTAAGACATAGGAATTTTAATACTTTATTAATTTATGAATGAACTTTTGCATGAACTCATCGTTGTTTTTAATACTAAATCCCTGCATGTTTAATACAGGATCCGCACGCGGAGCATGTATAAAAAACGGCACTGTATGGAGTATGGATACCTGTTCCTCGTCCGCCCCCCCCCCACAGGCCAACCTCTCCCTTGGAGGAAGAAAAAACGCAACAAACATAACCTGTTGGCGCTCCGCGCGGATTCCCTGGATCCGCGCTGGACGCCCCTCCCTGGCACGCGGAACGCGCCAGGGGCGTCCCCAAAGGTGCCGCCAGGGGGTGGCCCAGCGCGGATCCCAGAAACCCGCGGGGAGCGACGAAAATTTATGCTTCTAACTTTTGACGCTGTTTCTCCTCCGACCCCCCTAGGGGCCAACCTCTCCCTTCGAGGATCTACTGACCCGGGTAAATCCAAGCCCGGGTCAGTCGGGGCTGGCAGGATCGGATCGGATCGGACTTGCCATAGGAGGGCCGGCGGGGGCCCGGCGAGTTGGCGCCGTGGCGCCGCGCAGCTGCACGACCCAGTGATTGATCAATCAGTATGAAACGGGACGAAAGTGAGACGCGACGGGTGTGTAGATCATTGGCAAGGCAAGGAGGGAGAGGGGAGCAGCAGGACCCTGCAGCATCCTGCAGGGCTCCTGCAGGACCAGGATATCCTGCACGCGCAAGCCCCGGCGGCCTGTGCGCCCCTGGCCCTGCAGGATCTCCTGCAGGATCCGGGCGTCTGGCCCATCCCCGTTTGCAGTGACCGCCGCCTCTTTGAGCCCCGAACCCTCACCCCCGACGTCCTGATTTGTCCCTACCTAGGCTCTGCCTAAAAGGGTTCTTACTCGCTTGGCTTGAAGGGCCGGGCAGTGGAACCCGCCCCAGGCGGTTCCCCCCGTCTCCTGGGAGCCAAGCGAAAGCAACAGCAAAGGTAAAAGCAAACGCGCGGTTCCCCAAGTTGCGCTCCCTGGGTGCCAAGCAAAAGCAAAAGCAAAGGCAAAAATTGAGGCTCCAACTCCTAGGTAGGGTCGCACTGGGATACTTTCGCAACGTCGACCACCGAAGATCTGGACCCATTCTTCGGGACCGGTTTATCCTCCCGGGTCGTTTTTTGACGGTCACGAGGCCTCGTAAGGGCCCTTGCTGGGATGACCGACCCCTCTGCTTCGCGGATGGGCTGGTTATATCTGCTTCGCAAGCGCTTTAGCACACTTAGGTGGGCAGATAGCAACCGACTTAGCAACGAGCTTAGCTCTCAGGTTATATGCGGTTGCTATCCTGGATAGCTAAGGGCGCTAACCTGGTTAGCAACCCCGCGCGCTCTGAACAAACAAATCCTTACTCCCCCATTTCCCTCCGCCTCATCTCCGTTTCGGCCCTCCTCCGCCTCACCATTTACCGTCTAGTCCTCATCCGTGTCCTGGCTTTACTCCTCACCCAACCCCTCCTTCTCATCCTCCTCCAAAACCTGGTCCTCATCTTCCTGATCCTGATCCTCCTTATCATACCCTCCTCATATTCCTTATCCTCCTCTTCGGTGTCAGGTCAGCTCATCGGCGAGATGTGTCCCCCTCCCCCAATTCAGAGCTTTCAGAGGCGTTTTATGGAATCGCATTGTAGAGTCCCACCAGCCCTTTGGGCGTGAGTGGTTTAGAGAGCTCTCTCTGTTCTCAACCCCCCTTCTTCCCCTTCGGGGAGGGGTTTACCCCTCCCCCTACCCCCTCCCCCTGGACCTGGACAGGGACTCCCGGGTGGTGTCAGGGGGGTCTTTTTCGACTCCTGGGAGGGCCAAAAAACGACGACCCTCACGAGGATTCTGGCCCCGACGGGGGGACGCAGTTTGGCCCCTCTGCTCGTCTTTGAAGCCAAAAACATTGATTTGACTATGGTTTTGGCCCCATTTTGGCCTCCTGAGAGGGCCGCGCTAATCTTCCTTCATAGCAAAATCATTGACTTTACGAATGTTTTGGGCTCATTTTGTCCTTCTCAGGGGGCAGCCCTCATTTGCGCTTCTGAGGAGGTCGCAAGAGGCCCCAAGATGGCCCCAAGAGGCCCCCAGGAGGCTCCCAAGAGGCCTCCAAGAGGCCCCCCAGAGGCCCCCAAGCGGCCCCAAGAGGCCCCCAAGAGGCCCCCAAGAGGCCCCCAAGAGGCCCCCAAGAGGCCCCAAGAGGCTCCCCAGAGGCCCCCAAGAGGCCCCCAAGAGGCCCCAAGAGGCTCCAAGAGGCCCCCAAGAGGCCCCACGAGGAGCCCGAACGACTCACACCAGGACGAGGGGCCCGAACGACTCACACCACGAAGAGCCCGAACGACTCACACCACAAGGAGGGGCCCGAACGACTCACACCAGGACGAGGCGCCCGAACGACTCACACCACGAGGAGCCCGAACGACTCACACCACGACGCGGGCCCCGAACGACTCACACCACGAGGAGCCCGAACGAGTCACACCAGGAGGAGGGGCCCGAACGACTCACACCAGGATGAGGGGCCCGAACAACTCACACCACGAGAAGCCCGAACGACTCACACCAGGACGAAGAGCCCGAACGACTCACACCACGAAGAGCCCGAACGACTCACACCAGGAAGAAGGGCCCGAACGACTCACACCAGGACGAGAAACCCCAAACGACTCAAATCACGAGGAGCGCTTTCTCTCCCTCCTCCTCCGCCTCGTCCTTCTCCCGCTCCCCCCACAAGGAGGATGTACAAGGAGGCGGGAGGAAGGAGGAACAGGGGAGATATGCGGGGCCAAGCGGACACACGCCTGAAAAACACGACTGTCGGCATGCTTCGCAAGAGTTGCTGCTGTGATATGGGCTGGCGGGGATACGCGAAGCGTAAAGAATTTTATCGTATTTGACGGTGTGATTGTGGTGATGATGCTGCTGGGTAGTGCATATGCGATGTTGTTATTGACGATGCCAGCGTTCATTAAATATTTTCAGCAATGGGTTGCCGCCTGAGGCCTGCGGGCCAACTACATCCGAAAGTCAAGACCTCATGTATAGTTGAAGCCTCCCTGGGAGTAAAACTTGGGATGCGAAACCTTCCGCAGCGCGGAAAATGCACGACTCAAAAATGTTCTGCAACGGGAACACACGAGGAGCAGCGCGAACGGTGCATGTGGCGTGCGAGGCGTGCAATTCGGAAACCGTCCATTTTGAAAGCACGCTCACGAGACGACCACCTATCTGCGCATGAATGTACACTTCACCGACACCGAGGCCGCCTTGCTCATTCTTAAATGCAACGACGTCTCCAATGTAAACAGCCTTGCCGTTGATGTGGACAGAGGCGGAGCTCTCGATGCACAATGAAGGATCAATAGGCAGCGCATCGCGCAATGCCTTGGCCAGCCTGGCGCTTGCCATCTTTGGGGCGAGCAGGTCCACGTCAAACAGCTTGTGCGAGGCAACATCGTGAAGGTGTTTCACCGCCACCTCCTCCATGATCCCTCGGTCGTAGTTCTGAACGGCGTGGCGACCACAAGCGAATGCCTTGATCACTCGGTGCTTCCTTTCTTGAGCGAAAGTTGAAAGAAGGCACCCTTGCTTCTCCATCTAAGCTGGTACGTGGAAGTCTAGATGGTCCTTGGGCTTAAAAAGTTCTACACCGTATGCGGACTCATGTAGTTGCATGTGCAATACCAGCTGATGCTTCAACATGCCCGACGTGATGAGACCACTGCTGGCATTGACCAGCATGTCGAGCACCTTGCACAAGGCCAAGATGCTATCGACCTCAGCCTTCAAAACACCTGCTCGATCAATTTTTTACCGTTCAGACTGGTTCCCGTGCGCACTTTCTTGCCATGAGCATACCCACGCGGCCACACCCAGTTCCCCACGTACGGTTGAAGCGAAGATATGCCCAACTGGTAGTTGGCTGATCGACCCAAGAACTCATGTACTTCACGCTCGCATGTCCCCCCACCATGTAGCAGCGCATCCAGTCCCAAGCAACAACGTCCCTACCATGTAGCAGACCTGCAAATCGAGGTCTTCGTCCTGAGATATAGATTGAGCATGGTAAGAAAAAACTAGAAGGATCTCTAAACCCTCGAGCCGTCCAGGCTCATGCTGTGCAACATACTTGAACCGTCGTTGAATTCCGCGGATCGTCTCACCCGTGTGCACATGGAACTTGCTGGGGTCTCTGCAACTGGATGGGACGCAGTAGCCCGTGCTGTCTGGAAATAAACTGCTGCGCGGCATCACCACAATTTGACATAAACAACATGGTTCACCCCCGCCGACCCCTTGCACGCCAGACCGAATTTATGAGCACGTTCGTCTTGAATCATGCTGCCCAACTTCCCGTGTATTAAGTACGGCTGCCCACCTAACATGACCCGAACCCCTCGTCGAAGGTCTGGACCGTTCGACGAATTGAAGAATAATTTCAACGCGTGTTTCAGAACACAGGATACGACACCATCTTGTTTGTCAACCTGCTTGGATGCAATTGTTTGCCACAACAATTCGTTTGACAAGGATGGCCGCTCGAGTTCCTTAAAACTCCAGTAGAGGGCATGCACCTGCCTGGAATTTCGCCCATCAAACACGTTCACTGGAGTGATTTCATCACAATAGGCGAAGATCGTGAGGTGCCCAGTGAGACGATGCAGCAGGTCGATGAGCTCATCCCAGTACTCTGGGGAAGCGTCGCACGCCGCCTCCAGCCACCCGAATGGATATTGAAACCACACATCGATAGTTTCACCACCACCACCACGAGTCGAAGGCAACCTGATGCACTGAAGAAGAGGCCAGAAGCTAGTCTGGACCATCGCTACTTTCTGGCGATGACGGGCCTGCGTTGGCCTTGAAAATGCCTCTGGCAGGCCCTCCCGTTCGATCTCTCTCATCAATTCCGCTATGGCGCTGGCAGTGGCATGGGATGTCTTGCCGAAGGAAACTCGGCGAAGCTTCTTGGAAAGAGGCGAAATGCCTCGCCGCCGAGAAAGAACTTGACACGATGGCGAACGGAATGGAGCACCACGCCGCAACATGGGCTCAAGCTGACATCTCTCGTGACTTTTGGGCCAATAGGAAAAAACATTTCCCCTCTCCCCCCGCGTCCTCTACTTATACCCCCCCCTCATCCCCAATTGACGGGTTCTGATGCGACCCCTCTCGGCTCGTCAGGCCGACGGACCGTCGTAGCCACGGCTGGGCGCAGCTCGAGACAAGCTGCCAGGATGGGCCTCAAGGGGTGTCTGAGAACTGGCACGCGGATAGGGGCGGGGGGGGGGAATAGGATAGGAGGAGGAGGAGGAGAGGAGGAGGGAGGAGGGGGATGAGGAGGAGGGGGGGGGGGGAGGGGGGGGCTCCGGAGGAGGATGGGGGGGGGGGGGAAAGCGGAGGAGGAGTAGGAGGAGGAGGAGGAGGAGGAGGAGAAGGAGTAGGAATAGGAGGAGTAGGAGGAGGAAAATGAGGAGGAGGGGGAGGAGGACCAGGAGCAGGAGGAAGACAAAGAGGGCGAGGAGGGGAGGGCTAAATAAGCAATGGGACACCAGAGACGGATGTGGACAGGGGGGGGGAGAGGGATGGAGGGAGAGACGGAGCAGGAGGAGGAAAAGGGAAAGGAGGAGGAGGAGGAGGAGGAGAAGAGGGAGGAACATGTAAGGAACATTTGAAATCATAACCCCCAAAACTCATTATTTCACACGGGAGGAACGCGAGGCCGCGCGAAGAGGAAGAGGGGAAGGAGGCTTAGGAGGAGGAGAAGGAGGAGGAGGGGGAGGAGGACAAGTTAGGTGCGCTCGCGTCAACATCTGACATCCGACCCCTCCGTCCCATCCCTTACCATGGCGCTGATTTTCTCTATCCGCGGACGCGTGTCGTAGCGGACCTGTGGCTCCGCGAGCGTGTGCGTAGTGGGTGGTGGTGCGCGTGCGTGCGTGCGTGTGCGTGGTTGTGGTTGTTGTGGTGGTGTGTATGTGTGTGTGTGTGTGTGTGTGCGTGTGTGCGCGTGTGCTGTGGTGTGACGTGGTGTGGCGTCTTGGTGCTTTGGTGGTGGGCCAGGTGCGTACGTGCGTGATGGCGGTGGTGGTGGTGGTGGCGGTGGTGGTGTGTGTGTGTGTGTGTGTCTGTGTGTGTGCGTGTGTGTGTGCGTGTATGAGCATGTGCATGTGCATGTGCATGTGTATGTGTATGTGTATGTGTATGTGTATATGTGTATGTGTATGTGTATGTGTATGTGTATGTGTATGTGTATGTGTATGTGTATGTATATGTGTATGTGTATGTGTATGTGTTTGTGTGTGTGTGCGTGCGTGCGTGCGTGCGTGCGTGCGGGCGGGCGGGCGTGCGTGCGTGCGTGTGTGTCTGTGTGCGCGCGCGTGTGATGTGGTGTGACGCGGTGTAGCGTGGTGGTGGTGGGTGGGGTAGTGCGGTGGTGGTGGCGGTGCGCAGTGGTGGTGCGCGTGCGTGCGTGCGTGCGTTGGTGGGTGGAAGTGGCGGTGGGTGTGCGTGCGGCGGGGCGGGGCGTGGTGCGGCGCGGTGGTGGCGGGCGGATGGGCGCGCGAGAAAGAGGCCCGCGCTGGGGCGAGAACGCCATCCTGAACGACGGAGAGGCAAACACCCGATCCGAAAATGAGGCCCACGCTGCAGCGGGAGCACGATTCGGAACGATTCGGGAGCAGAAATGAGGCCGGCGCCTCAGCGAGAGCAGCATTTTGAGAAAACAAAAAAACGCAGGCGAAAACCCAACTCCCGGGAATCCTGTGTGTACAGAAAAAACGCGGGGGGGTCTACTACTCCCAGCACGCCATCAGGGGAAGAGGGAGAATAGTATTCATATTGAATAATTGCGGAGGGAGTGAAGGACAATGAGGATGAGGAGGATGTGGCAGTGGGGGAGGAGGAAAGGGAGGAGGAGGCGGAGGAGGAGGAGGAGGAGGAGGAGGAGGCGGAGGAGGAGGAGGAGGAGGGAGGAGGAGGAGGAGGAGGAGGAGGAGGAGAAGAGAGAGGAGGAGAGAGAGGAGGAGCGGGAGGAGGAGGAGGAGGGGAATGAGGAGGAAAAGGAAAAAGAGGAGGAGGAGGAGGAGGAGGAGGAGGAGGAGGGGGAGGAGGAGGAAAACACGGGAAACAGCGAGGAGTTAGAGGGGTGGGTCGGGGAGCTGGAGGGGTCATAAGGGGAGGTGGCCAGCCACGTGCGACGTATGACCCTTGTCCAGAAAGAGACAGACTGCGCGGGGGAGGGGGAGTAGGAGAAGTCGGAGTGCTAGCAGTAGGAATGACACCCTTGGGATCTGTGGAGGCCCCAAAATAATAAGAAGGAGGCGATGCATCACTCGCCGTGTGGCTCCGAAAGGCTGCTCGATCCTACGTGCACTTGAGAACGTGAGAGACAAGCCAGAAACAGAGATATAGCAAAGCACGCGCGCGCGCGTGGCAGGAGCCATTGGTCTCCCCAGGCTCGGGCACAACGTGGGCCTGACCTAAAAAATGTATCCCCTGGCATTGCGTTCCCACCGGCAAATGCTCAGAGGCTGCTCTCGAAGCGCGCTATGTACATACATGATCAAATGCGGCCCGCGCGCGAAACATCCAAAAGAAACCTCGGCTCTACAAAATCCCAAGCGTAGTCCCAAACGAGCCCCGCCTGACTGAAGGTCCACTTTTTGGCCTCCGAAATTGCCGAGTCTGAAAGTTTGGCCCTCTTGGCCTGACCATTTACCTGACAATATGCTCTGTTAGTGTACGTGTTCGGATCGCGGCCCCCGATGTCCCGCAGGCAACCGACGATATCGATCACGGCCTTCCCCTTCTTGAATATGCCTAGGGGAGGGGCTAGGATGGGAGGCGGTTGGGAGATGACGATTGACCCCCGAAGTTTTCATTTTTGGAGTGACCTGGCGCTGGGCCCCGAACATGACCCCAATGTGTCGTGAGGTTAATCGGTTCGGGAACTCATGTGTGATTTCAATTCCCCTCCACCATTCCTCCCAATCATCCCCATCATCGAGATCGCCCCTTCTCCTTCTCCTCCGCCTCCTCCGCCTCCCCCTCTTCCTCCTCCTCCTCCAACTCGTCCTCCTCCTCCTCCTCCTCCCAAGAGCCTGTGACACCAGTGGGGAACTTCGCATTGGTCGTCGACTTGGCGGCCTTGGAGGACTTGGGCGAGGCCTTGGGCTTGCCCTTGGCGGCGCCTGTGCTCACGACCGTGTCCGTGTCAGCGCCCCCCCCTTTGCCGCGGCCGTGCCTTTGGCCTTGGCTGCGGCCTTGCCTCTGGCAGCGGTCTTGCCTTTGGCCTTCGGCTGAGCCTTCAGGGCCAGGTGGCCGTTGGCAGTCTCTGCCGTCGCAAGCATCTTCTGCTCCAGCGCGGTGGCCTCGTCGGGGGGGGGGGGGGGGGGGGGGGCGGGCCAGCTGGCGCTGGGGGCGCGAGAGGCGCACCAGGCGCTGGAAGCACGGGGGGCCCACCAGGCGCTGCAAGCACGGGGGGTC